GGAAGGTGAAGCAAAGAAGGAGGTTGGTGAGGGAAAGAGAAGCAGGCAGCCATAGCTGACCGAGGGGTTGACCGGGAGAGTTGACCAGAGGTGTTGACCGGCTTTGACCGGAGTTGTCCGGGGGTTGACCGCAGCGTTGACCGGCATTAACCAAGGCGTTGACCAAGACTTTGACCAACCTGGAACCGGTAAAATCTCGCCAAGCCTTCAGCCTATCCCTCACCCTATGGATGTGCACACACCCTGTGGTACTTGCTGAGTCCAGTCAGACTGTCTCTTCTTTCTGCATTGAGTCTCTTTTGTCCTAGGTGATAGTACTCTGTGGATGAAGGATAGGGCCTTGTTGACCAAACCCACACGGGATGAGTAGGGCTAAAGACTGTGTCTGACGACTCGACTATCCCGAAGGACACGAACCCTCCCAAGGACCGGTACTGACCGGCGGGCTGCTCGGTGTGGCACGGTAGGCCCAAAATCCGAGCTGTGGGCTGCACAACACGTCGTCTAAGTGTTGAGAGACCTGCTGATCGCGTCGTCCTGTCTGCGACGTTAAATAATTCCTGAGGAGTTACGGGGGATCTCCTTAAATGCCTCCTGATCAGCAACAGGTCTAGTAGTGACAGCCATAGTGTAGGTCTAGGCTAGAGACCCTAGTTGGCAGGATCCCTGTCAGGATTCTATGAGTCTTAGATTGAGTCAATAGGTTTGTCAGTCAGGGGTTAGAGTCTACGTGGTGAGGTTTGGAACCGTTAATCCGGTTGTGCACTGACACCATGGTTGAGACCCGTAGTGGGAAGAACACTAGCCCATACACCCAGGAGCAGCAAGAGAAAATGGCCGCCCTAGTGAGAGAAAACAAAGAGAGGAAGAAGCTCGAGAAGCAAGCGAAGCTAAAGGCAATCGCAGAGGAGCAGGCGGCAAAGATGAAGAAGTTGGAGGAGGAGATGAAGAGAGTTCAGCAGGAGGAGGAAGAGAGGAGAAAGGCTGCTGAAGAAGAAGCAGCAGAAGAAGAAGCAAAAGAGAGGATACGTATTGAGAGTGGAGAAGGGAGTAGTGGCACGAAAAAGGATGAAGACGCTGAGATCAAGAGGAAGATAAGTGAGTGGGTCGCTAATTTATCGTTGGGAAAGACGAGGTGGCGGAGTCTTCTGTGCCTCAGGATGAGAGAGATGCGTTAACCAGGGAGCTAATGGCAATGGAGGACACCATGGAACGGCGAGAAAGAGAAGAGCAGAAGTTGGAATGGAAATTGAGAATGAAGAGGGAGAAGAAGAGAAGGAGGGAGGAAGCCACTAGGCTGACCGCAGAGGTGGCAAAGGTGAGGGACTGTAGGCAGGAAGTGGAGGCCCAGGCAGACGACAAGGCCAAATGGGATAAGGTGTTGAAGTACCTGGAGGTGCTGAGCGCAGCGTGGATGGAGGAGCGCCAAGCCAGTTGGGGTCAAGAGGTAGCCTTGAGTGCCATGCAGTCGGGGTTTAGGGACTTTGCGCGCGATATGGTTACCCACGTTGGGGGAGAAGTTTGGAAGTTGAGAGACAACGTGGGAAAGTTCTGCAAAGGTGCCATTGAAGGTGCCAAAGCGATAGACGCTGTAGAGAGCGAGACCAGACCCCGTACAGAGCCCGTAAAGCTCAAGTTCTCAGATGCATACGTCTCCCACTTGTCTTGTTACCCGATTGTCGCAGTTAAAAGAAGGAGGAGTACTTTGACAACTGGGAGGCCAATGTCAACAGTTATGTGTATTTACAACATATCCTGACAGAGGAACAAGTCCTCGTGGCCTTCCAGGCCCTTAAGGATGAGGCGGCTAGTTTTGCCAGGTCCCTTGCGCGCGCAGCCGGTTGTGAAAACAACATGGTTGCATATTCCAAGATCACCACCCTTCCTCAATCCTTCAAGCTCATGAGGCAGCGATTTGTTGATCCAACGAGAGGCGTCAGGGCCTCTGATAACTTGCAGACGATCCACTCGCGACAGTGGAGGAGTGCAAGAGCACTCAAGGGCGTCATGGACGACTTAGTAGCCGTCCCAGACCATGGGGTCACTGAGACCCAATTGGTCCAATTGTTTTATCGTGCCATGCCCGAGCCCCTGCATGGGCACTTCTTTGACAAGTCTCAATAGGCCGACATCACTTATGATGCGTTGAGTAGGGAAGTGGTCCTGTATGAGTGGAAGTCCATGCCAGTTACCACTTTCTGGCATAAGGACCTGGACAAGGGGAAGAAGTGGAAAGGCCGTACCATCTCAGGCCAAGTAAGGGCCAAGGATCATATGATCCTTACTTCAGAGGAAGGTGGTACAGATGAGGTCCCGTATAGTCAAATTGAGTGGGGCCTTGAGGAGGAGGACAGTAGCGTGGGGCAGGGGAGGTCCTATGCTGCTGTCGCGGCTGGAGGGAGGCCGCAAAGTAGGGAAGGAGGCCAGAGCCAAAGGGGCCAGGCCATGGTAGGTCGAGGACCGGGCGCGCAGGGGGTTGGCCGACAAGGGAACCGCCAAGTGGAAGGTAGGGGTCAAGGTTCCCTGCCAAATCGCCAGGGTTCTTGTCGGTCCCCACAACGACGAGGTGGAAGGGCACCTCAAGGTGGATGGCACCCAGGCTTGCCACAGGGCAGGCCCTAGGAAGATTTGGGCTTGGACCAGCGTATATGGCAGGAACGCGTGGACCTGGGTCAGTGCGTGTTTTGTGGTGACCCGGCCCACGTCATTAAATTTTGTCCTAAGTATAGACAGGCCCGTTGGGCTGCTCAACAGTCAAAAGGCAGCCGCCAGTAAGGGTCGCAACTGCCCCTACTTCAAGGCCATGTGGAGAAGTGAGCGCGCGCGAACAGGAAACTCCCAAACCACATGAGCCTATGGCAGAGGTTGCAGGCCCGTGCCTAGCTAGCTGTCCAGAGACCGCTTGTGTTAGCGTCTCTCTAGGCACGTCCCTCACAGGCATGGCAGATGAGCTGAAGGAGAGGATGCCAGCCTGGGCCAAAATGAAGAAGGAGAGCAAGGGACAGCTGATCTTGGTAGATGTAGAAGTGTTTAGAAGCAGAGTAGGGGCCCTTATAGACTCAGGGGCTACCCGTAGTTATATTAGCCGTAGAGCGCTGAAGAAGCTGAGGCTAGGATTGAAAGTCCAAAAGTTAGCAGACCCTATAGTCAGTGTCCTCGCAGACAACCGCACAATGCGTGTTGAGGACTACGTAGAGGGAGTCCAGGCATACTTTCGCCTAGAGAAGGACGGGAAGGTGGAGAAAGTTCTCCATTCCCTGACTCTCCTCGTGCAAGATGACCTTCCTTTCGATGTAGTGTTAGGAATGGATTGGGGAGAGGCAGCAGGGGCCACACTCCACTTGAGAGAGCATGAGCGTAGGCTCCCTAGTCCATCAGGCGAGGTTAAGACTGCCCGCCTGTTTCATGTGTCAGGTGTAGATAATACCTTGGCACATTGCTGTCTCAATGCTCCCGCGTTCGCGCGGTTAGTAAAGAAGGAGGGATTAGAGGAACAGGTCTTTGTAGTTTATGTTAGACCTGTCACTGAGGCTAAGGAAGAGGTGACTTCCACAGATCCAACCATTGCCAAGCTGCTGGAGGAGTTTAAAGACTTGACTGAGTCGCCGACAGGAGTAGTGCCGCGACCCATCCAGCACAGGATAGAGATAGAGCCTGGCAGTAGAACTCCTAAGGGAGCAGTCTCTCGGATGTCCCCTAGAGAGTTACAGAAGCAGTTGGACGAGCTCCTTGAGAAAGGTTGGATCAGGCCCAGTTCGTCTCCTTTTGGAGCACCAGTGTTGTTTGTCCCCAAGAAGGAAGGACAGTTTCGTATGTGTATAGACTATAGGGGTTTGAATGCGATTATTGTGAAGAATGCTGGGCCGCTGCCCAGGATAGACGATCTTCTAGATCGGGTGCAGGGTTGTAAGTATTTTTCTAAGATAGATCTAAAGTCCGGTTACCATCAGATAGAAGTTCATCCTGATCACCAGTACAAGACTGCGTTCCGGACCAGATATGGGCACTATGAGTTTATAGTGATGCCCTTTGGACTGACTAACGAGCCAGCGACCTTTCGGCGTTGTATGAATGATTTGTTCAGACCATGGTTAGATAAGTTGTAGTCGTCTACTTAGATGATATATTAGTTTTCAGTAGGACCCTCCAAGAGCACCAGGGTCATCTGAGACAGGTCTTGGAAAAGCTACGAGAGGCTAACTTCAAGATCAACACAAAGAAGTGTGAGTGGGCCAAGACACAAGTCTTGTACTTGGGCCACCTATTGGATGGAGACGACATTAAGCCAGAGGACAGCAAGATCACGACGATTAGAGACTGGCCGACGCCCTGCACATTGACAGAGTTGCGGTCGTTCTTAGGTCTAGCTAACTACTATAGAAAGTTCATGAGGAACTTCTCTACTATCGCCACTCCCTTGCGCAAGTTGCTTAAGAAAGAGGCAATCTGGCAATGGGACAAAGACTGTACATCTGCGCTAAAAAAGTTAAAACGCGCACTGATAGAGTACCCTGTCCTCAAAGTAGCCGATCCATCTTTGCCATTTGTCGTCACCACGGACGCAAGTCAGTATGGGATAGGCGCCGTGTTGCAGCAAGACGACGGCAATGGCTATAGACCCGTAGAGTTCATGCCAGCGAGGATGCCCTCAGAGAAGGTAGCCACCTCGACGTACGAGAGAGAACTCTACGCTCTCAGGCAGGCACAAGAGCACTGGAAGCATTACCTGCTTGGGAGGCACTTCAAAGTGTATTCTGACCATGAGACGCTTCGTTGGTTAAAGACTCAGATGACACCTAAGCTAACTAGGTGGGCCGCTGAAATAGACCAGTATGACTTTGAGCTCAAGCCAGTGAAGGGCAAGTACAACGTAGTTGTTGATGCTCTGAGTAGAAGATTAGACTACTTTGGAGCCATAGTACACTATCTGGATATAGGGAGAGACCTGCAGGAGGAAGTAAGGCAAGCGTATGCACAGGACCCTATCTATAGTGACCTCCTCAAGAGGGTTAAGGAGGCCCCAGAGACCGAACCACACTACCGCACTACAGAAGGATTGCTGTTTGAGAAGACATATGTATTCGACCGCCAATGCGTTCCCAATAGTGAGGAAATCCGCAGTGTGATCCTAGGGGAATGCCATGACACAGAGGGATACTTCGGTTGGCAGAAGACATTAGCCAATCTGATGCGTGCGTACACCTGGCCAGGGATGAAGAATGACTACATAGAGTATGTTCGCAGTTGCAAAGTTTGCTAGAGAAATAAGACTACTACATGCGCGCCCCTACGTCTTCTCAAACCGCTGCCTATTCCTGATTAACCTGGAGACTCAGTGTCCATAGACGTCATGGATACTCAAGTCAAGAGTAGGCGTGGCAAGAGCCAAGTCATGGTCGTAGCTGACCGTTTTAGCAAGTATGCCGTTTTTGTTCCCTTGCCTGCAGAGGCACGTACCGAAGTAGTTATCGAATTAGTTATCCAGAAGTTTTTTGATCACTGGGTTAGTGAGAACGGAATCCCATTATCCATAGTTAGTGATAGAGATAGTCGTTTCACCAGCCAGAACTGGCAAGAACTCATGAGAGTTTACGGATCTAAGTTGTTAATGTCGTCTGGCCGCCATCCAGAGACCAACGGTCAGACAGAACAGATGAACAAGATCCTACATCAAGTTTTGCGCATGTACATTAGACCTGACCAGATCAACTGGGATGAGATGTTGCCTAAGGTAGCTAGTGCCTACAACAACAGCATGCATCTATCCACCTGCCGCACTCCCAATGAGCTGCACAAATCCTTTAGACCACGCAGGCCGTTCGAAGGACTGAACCAGGATCAGATTCACAAACAACCGCCCGGTACCAGGGAATTCTCAGTACGACACGAAAAAGAACTAGCAACAGTTGTTGAAAACCTCAGGAAGGCCCAACACAGAACGATAGAACAGGCAAACAACCATCGTCGCCCGTCTCAGTTCCAAGTAGGCGACTTAGTCTGGGTCAAGTCCAAGGAGTTTGCACCTAAGGAGCACATCTCGCAGAAATTGCTGCCTGCATATAGAGGACCATGGCCGGTTCTAGAAGTCAAGGGCGGAGAAGATGGACCGTCCTACACTATAGAGATACCAGCACACCTCCACACATACCCTGTGTTCCATGCTTCAAAGTTGTTGCCGTGTGTCACAAGTCAACAGTTCCCTTGAAGAAGATCCATGATCCCCCCGGATATGGACGGGAGTTATGCCATTGACGACATTGTAGATGAGGATGTATTTAGAACAGGAGGTAGAGGTCGTCCCCAGAAATAGTAGAAGGTCCGGTTTGCTTATCAGAAATCGGAAGACGACCACTGGTTTACAAGGACAAAACTTCTAGAAACAGCTCCTGACATAGTCAGAGCCTATGAGCGTGATAAGAAGGGTAAAGGTCCTGCCTTGGACTGAAATATTCTCGGAGGACCTCGAATTTAAGACGGCGGGAGTGAAACGGTTTTCACATCTTAGCAGTAGTAGACGCAGATCCCAAGGTTCGATCCCTAGACCTTGCCCTACCTGTGTACAGTACCTGTGTAGACCCCAAGAGTTGAACCTGCGACCTGTGTATTTGTAACAGATAGTAGTCTGTTGTAAGGTCCCAAACGAAGCAGGGGTTCGATCTGTAGATCTATAGAGTAGGAGTCTTAGCGAGTTCCAAAAGCCTAGATGTAGTCCTTCTAGAAGGTCAGCAAGTGGGCAAGTGGGCAAGTGGTGGACTAAACTGCAGTGCAATCGCAGTACGACTACGGGAGGTTAGCGCTGAGTCCACAGTCAGTCAGCGATAAGGTCCAGTCAGTCCCAGTCCTGTCCAGCAAGTACCACGAGGGACTGTGAGCACCATGGGCCGATTGAAAGGGGCAGGCCACCGAGTTTCAAAAGTATAAATCAAGAGGCAGTGCCCAGCCATTCATTTCATTCCTGCGTGAGCCATACGGAAGCGCTGCCACAGCGACTTGTGCAAGGAGGTCTGCAGAGAGCCCGGAGCTGAAGTGGGCAAGAGAGAAGGAGCGTAGCATAGCGATAGGGTACAGACAACCATAGTTGCCATAGCCCTAGTTTAGTGTGAAGTGTGTGTGTGTACGTGTGGGATATCCAGGGTGATCCGGTGTATGTGAACAGTGAGTTGATTGGGCGCTGAGTCGCCATAGCGTGTTGAAAGTGAACTCGTATCTGGATGCTATATCTTTGAGTAGTGAGTGGGCGCATGTCGCCAGTTTGTTGCGCTACTGTTTACATGCATGAAAAGTGTGAATGAGAACGAGTCTGATTGCATATGATTGTTGACGCCCTCTGCAGTTGGCGCCTCTTTTCAAATCCCTCCTTTGGCACTTTCGGATTTCGACACTTGGCGCCATCCGACATTCTGGCGCCCTGACTTTGACTTTTGATTCTCAGTTCAGTCCTGAGGCAATGGCACTTCTGCCCTCCGGACTGAACTTGAGTCCGGTACTTGAAACCGGACTCAAGCCCAGTACGGGCATTCAGTTTTCGGCCTCAGTGCTTGTGCTTCAGTGTGACTTGCTTCGACATTGTGTTCGGGAATCGAAGACTGCGACTTTGCGACTTCGCCACTTCTGGATGTGTCCGTCCAGTCTTGTCAAGTCTTGTCGAGTCTGCGTCGAGTTGAGTGAGTGTCTGTGTGCGTGCTCTCACCCTCTCCTCTCTCTCCCTCAGCCTTGCTACTCTGCCTCTGCCTCTGCTTTGTCACACTGGTATCGGAGCGGCTTCGGCTCTCCCTCCCGCCCTTTTCCATGATCGTCGCCGTCGTTGCCACGTCATCGTCGTCACTGTCGACCTCGTCGTCGTCGTTGCCACATCATTGCCATCGTCGTCATCGCTGCCACGTCAGCGCCTCCCTCGTACCTGCCGTCGTCGCCATTGCCACGTCAGCACCTCGCTGCCTCCCTCGTCGCTGCTGCAACGCTACCGATCCCGAAGCCGACGCGCAGGTCAGTGACCAATAAACTTTCTTTTTTTTCTCCTCCCCCCTCATTTCTTCTTCTTTTTCCCCTCGTCGTCGTTGCCATCACTTCCTTTCCTCCTCCTTCCTCCTCCTCCTTTCCTCCCTCGATTCTTGTTCTTTCTCGTCCTCTTCAACCCTCCTTCCCCCCCGTTATTCTTCCTTCTCCTCGTCGTCGTCGTCATCCCTCCTTCTTCGTCTTCTTCTTCCTCGTCTTCATTCCCCCTTCCTCCTACGCGCCATCTCCACCTCTCTTCCCGCGCGCTATTCCCCTCCGCTGCCTACCCAATCCCACTTCCCGCCCTCCTACGACTTCGCGATCCCCCACGCGGAAACCCCCCGCCCTTCCCAACTCCGATTCCCCGACCCCGATTCCCCGTGCGCCTCTACCTCCAGCCCGCGCGCTTCTTCCCCCAAGCGATCTTTCCCCCCCCGTCGCCTCCCTCCTTCCCCTGACTTCCTCCCTCCAACTCGCAACCCTCGCGCGACTTTCTCCCCCCCATGTTTTCCCCCTACCATCATCATCATCATTATTATCATCATCATCAATCTACCCGTACCCTACCTACCACGCTACCACCATTCAATCGTAGATAGGATCGCTTCGCCCTCGATTTACATCAAAACTCATTTATTCCTTTATTTACTATTATTATTATTACTATTAAATTCATTTTTTTTTAATATTATTATAATTTATTAATTCATTTTAAATTTTTAAAAATTCAAAAATACTTAATCAACTATCTCGACATTGCTTTCTCAAAAATATTTTCTTTTTCAAAATTTTCGAAAATACATAGGAGTAAGCATTCTTTCTCGACATTTCATCTTCGAAATCCGAAAATCAATTTAATTAATTCTTTTTTGAAATTCTTGTAATTCAAACATATTTTAGAACTAATTCTTTTCATTCCAATTAATTAATTCTTTTTTGAAAGTTTTGAAAATACGTTAGAATTAATTAAATTCTTTTTCGATATTTCTTTTGGAAATTCAAAAATAATTCTAATTAATTCTTTTTCTCGGTATTTTAATTCACATATTCCTTTTTGCAATTTTTGTTGAAATTCGAAAAATTCATTTTCGCAATTCTTTTTCAGAATTCTCTTTTCAGAAGTACGTCCTTTTTTTCCCTCTGAACTCCTTAATTAATTTCGACTAAACTCGATTAATTCACGACTGAATTAATCTGCAAGGAAGATGAGCAATAACGAACTTCAAAAAGCAAACATACACATAAGACCAGAAAGTCGTGACCTCGAACCGATAGCAGAATTGCATCTCAAGTTCCACCAAATAAGAGTACAGCAAAAGCTCATAATTGACAATGCTGGAATAGTCTCATCATCATCAACGAAGAACCAATGTCAATATACTATTTGGCGCTCGACGCCCAGACTACAAACGACAGATCCTATCTAGCCTAATCTACAATGTTGTCGATGACGTCAACAGCTACCCGAAGTACGAGCAGATCTCGACCAATGCCGTATGCTTCAAGCACCAGGTATGTCTCTCGTATCACTCACAACCTCGTTCCCCGATTCACAGATGCCACATGCACCCAAGGACCACCATGCGCCCCATCCAACATACAGCAGCGCAGCTCGGCTATGGCTGCCTGCTCCTTCCAGCTGAACAGTAACCTATCACCCTCGGGTCCTAATGCCATGTGGGCAATCGGGCGTCTAGCTGATCGCAACATCCGGTCGTCCTCACTAGTGGTATCCATATCGCTCATATGCTACATAAATGTACACAATCTGCACTAAGTCACTCTTTGATGCTTACTGCAGCGTAGTGCACAGACCGATTTATAATAATAATTAATCGGTGGCTGTGTAAGAGTAGATACATTTAGGTCCAATAGGTAAGTTCAAATTCCTACAAACGTAACTACTTTGACTTTGACTAATTCGCAAATAGAAAGCACAATGAACAGAAAAGAATTCTAACTATGCTGTCTGGATGTTAATGGTTGTACACCTAACTAATCAATATAAAAATAGAATCATTTGTTGGGTTTGTTTGCAGAATGCTGTCTGGATGTTAATGGTTGTACACCTAACTAATCAATATAAAAATAGAATCATTTGTTGGGTTTGTTTGCAGAGTGGAATCTTGCCCGAACTTATCACCTGGAATCTACCCCTCCCTCAATTCTTCCTGAATATCTCTAGCCATCAAGGTCCCTGAGCAATCCGGACAGCGTGCGTGTCTAAAGGTGTGCACACGGCCCGCCCCTATGCCCCGAGTCTCGCTGAGCTGGCCAGCCCTGCACAGTCTTTATCCTCGCGTGTAGCGAGCCTGACACCGAC